ACCCGGAGGCCTTGCCAGCAGGAGGATGTGCGCCCGAGAGAGCAGCAGAAGTCTCGAAGGGCCCAGCGGTTGCGGAGGACGGCCACCTCTCCTGGCTCAAGAGCTCCTTTGGAAGCTTTGGAGCGTTTAGGGTTCGTTCAGGGTTTAGGGCAAGGGTTTAGGGTTTGGGGTTTGAAAATCAGGGCTCCTGTAAGAGGGGCGAAGATGTGCGAGCATCAAAGACCCCGACTGACAATGCCGTTGCTTAGTTGGCTTGTCGGGAGCACAAAGCCACGGAAAGTCAGTCTGTAGTGCCTGGGCTCCGAAACTGATTCAACAAATCAACCCTCGAAGCAAGAGGAGCCGACATGCAAAACTCCAACGTCAGACCGGGGAGCCCTGGACACGAAGCCTGTCCCAAAAATTTCCAAGCCATCAATCCGAAGCGACTGAGCAAAGCACACTAAAGCCACACCACTTCCGCCGTGATCTCGCAGACTCGGGCCTGCTGTGCGAGCTGTCCACAGTTTCTTCGTGTTCGCAGTCGTCCAACAACGAACATCACCTTAGAGTTTGAACATGGGCAGAGCCGAAGGAAACGCCCTGCTTGCTGCCGCTGAAACCTCGGTAACCATGTCGCGGACCTGCCAAGCTGGCGGCTTTGCTTGATCTCTGACATGCGCGAAGGTCAGGAGCAGACGCTCGATTTGCAAGAACCCGACGGCCTTTCTGCAGCGACATGTTCCTTGCCAAGCTAAGCTTCACAGCTGGGCTCTGCTCAACCCCCGTATTGGGCTCAAGACTGTGCAAGCCAAGCTTTGCGGCAAGGTCGCAGATGCGGCGAAGATGTCCCGAGCCACAACTTGGTGAGCAGGCCACTGGAGTCTGCCATGAGGGCAACCTGCGGAGAGGCGATGCACAGAGCGATGAGCTGCGGCAAAAGCAGGTGCTTCAAAGTTGTGATTGCACAAAAACAGATCGAACGATGCAACAGGCAAAAGAAGCTGCCAGGAGTGCTGATGCGAATGACAAACATCCGTCGTGAAAATCAACCTCGCAAACGCGACCTGCGATGTGAAACATGCGGCAACATCATGACTTGACAGCTGCACACCACCTGCAGCAAGCCCCTCGATAAGCTGGCACTTTGTTCTGTATCTCGGCCTGCTGGCGCGTCGCTCTCGCTGGCTCCAAACATGGCTCCGCACGAGCTTGGAAGTGGGTCGTGGGCCAGTCTTCCAGTCATGACGTGGTTCAGTACCACGCTGCCCACAGCGCTATAGTCGTCTGGGGTGGTGTTTTCTGTTTGTGCCGTTCTCATGTCCTCTGTCTGCAGCAGTACATGTCTAGTACATCTATCACGGTACGACGTTCTCAGGAATTATCAGCAGGTTGCTCTCTGCTACATATGGAGTCGTGCTTGATGTGCACTACTACTGCCATGATTCAGAATGCCAGTCAGGGTACTGTGGTATCTTGTGTGTGAGTTTATGACGGTGCTGCTTCTACTATATCACTGGATCACCAAGCTTCGCTCCTTTGACATGTTGGCAGGTGTTGCGATCATCTTGCATCGTGGTGCGATGTGCTTCGCATTGCTCGCAGTTCTGCAAAGACCTGTCACCATGCTGCATTCGGTTGAAACGGCACCTGCTGAAGTCAGTGATGCCATCGAAACACAATACCCCCAAAAAGTAGGATCCTTATTATAAGGACCCCAATAAGGTACCCCGTATTTCTGAAACTCCCACAGGAGCATCAACAACAGAAGCTTCTGCTGGGCTCCCGTCTCCAGGCAGTTCGCCAGGATCTGGATCATGACGGCACCCTCTGCCCAGGCCTGGCAGTGTGGTATGAGATCCGAAAATCTCGTTCTTCCGAGTCGGGGGGAGAATGCTGACATGGCTCCACATTACAAGCCTCCAGGTAAGTTTGTTCCACTTCAAAAGCATGTTCCGCGGCCAGGAGACGGTGTGACATGTGATGCCTGAGAAATGACTTGCAAATGAGCCTGGCTGTTGTCGTCCCAGCAGATGCTCTGCAGGTACAGCCCGCAAATCTGGAACCTAGGAAGTAAAACTTTCACATTCTAATTCACAAGAGTGGTTTGAAAGGCATATGAAGTTCACTTCGGATGCGACTCGGGCGGACCGGGGCCCCAGCGTGCCTTGCAGAATCCTCCTTGGAAGCTGCTGGAGCAGTGCAGCCAGGCCCGCGCCCAAGCTGACATGGGCCTGCTAAGCACACAAACTCATTAACAGAAATATATATATATATACATACACATATATATATAATATATATATAGGCTAGGACGGGAACTTGCCTCTTGGCGGAAGCCGCCCGGTGAGGCCGACGGGACCTGACTGTGACAAAAGTTTTTCCAACAAGTTGCTTTGCTGACCCGAGCTGTCCGGCCGGCTTGCCACTCCATGCCGTGGGCCGTTTTTGAGACTGGCACTCCGACACATGTCATGTTCGCCACTACAGAGTCGTCCTGGCGCCCCAAGCCTTGCGGCTCGCTGCCGCCGGAGATACAGAGGTGGCATATTGTACCAGAGCCAGGGCTATCAACATGTCCATGTCAGACGGAGCGGAGCCTCTGACCAAAGGGCAACTTCTTTCGAACAGGTTTAAACTCTGAAGAGACCTCGCCTTCCGGCACCACTTGCATGAGCTGACGTAGAGGATCAGCAAAGCCCGGCCTCAAGCGCTCGCTTCGGCCTCTGATCCCTCCGAGCTGAAAGCTTTCCGTAAGGACTTCTTGGTGAGTTCCTGGATGACTGGACTCCACACCTGGATGCTGGAATCGAAGAGATGGACCCTGCATACTCCTACACTGTCTACACTCTTCTTCAACGCACCCATTCAGTCCCAACCTCTCCTTTGCATTCACCGGTGGAATCAGAGGGCCAGGAGCCCCGCAACTCCCCCATGCGCGCCAACTTCCTTCGGAAGCGGAGCTGCGTCTCCTCGGCCACTGTACCAAGCATTGACGAGCATGATGGTCATGAACCACACCAGCAGGAGTGATAACACTGCGAACCGAACCATAATCCGAGTCACAATGACAATACATGGAATCCTAGTAAGAGCACGAAAAACAAATGCACTGCAAAACTGAGTTCATTCCCAGATGGCTGGCGCAGGGACGAGTCACGACGCCACGATGCCAACACCTCTAAGCCGTCCCCAATCTGTACGTTCCCAACATTTTCATCTTGCTTTTTATGATCACCCTGGTCATCTGCCCAGTTTCGCAAGGCCAAAAACGAAGCATGATAAATAGAGTACAGTAACAGTCATGGTAGTGATGCTGACCAGGACATGAATAGTAAATTCTCAGACTACCAGGTCAGAATAGGACAAAAGAAGTCAAAACGTCAAAGAACGATACAAATGAAGACCGCGGAAATGTTATGATGACAGCAACCCCAACAGTACAAACAGCAACCACAATTACTTCCAGCCTCCCTAAACCCTACATTCTACTTCCCGGAAGCCCGGAATCCACCAAACCCTAAGCCCTAAACCCCCAAACCCTGAAACATCCGAAACATCCTAAAAACCCCTGAGGAGAGGGCCTCTGGCGAAGCTGCCTTGCCATCTCCAACGAAGTCCCAGAGACTCGGCAGCTCACCATCCTGCGCCTCTCGTTTCACGCATTGAAAGCAGAGTCGGACCGTTGTCGTTCGGAGTCTAGGGCTTGGGGTTTAGGGTTTGGGGTTTAGGGTTTATGGTTTAGGGTTTAGGGTGCGTGTTCCGGGTTTCTTTGGTTTGGGGGTTTGGGCGTGTAGGATTTAGGTCGCAGGGCTGTTTGCCTCGAAGGGGTGGAAATAGGCTTCGTCAGTGGGCTTGAGGCAGGACTTCTGTCGATAGTGCTTCGAGAAGTGCAAAGATGCTCTACGGCAGTATGACTTTTCAGAACGGCGAAGTGTTGAAGGATGTGATGACAGTTTACGGTTCAGGGCGCTAGCTGTAAGCCTAAAGCGGGCGGACGCACAAGATTCGGTTCGAACTTGTTTAGGTCTTGGCATAGATTAGTGATTCGTTTGTGTTTCCACTACACAAAGGCTTCAACCACAAGTACGATTCCGTGAAGATGGTGCTCCTTCTCGCGGCGAACTCGTCGCGCGCTTGAGGAGAGGCGACCCGCAGAAAAAATGCAAGAACCGATCCGATGATATTTATGTATTGGTCGGCAGCAACAGGCACTCGGCTCTACATTTTTAAAGCTTCTTACAATGGAACTGGACCTTGACCTACCAAGGAGACGAGACACCCAACCCGCCTCGGTCTCGTCTGTGTCGTCCAAAACCTCGAAAAGCACCTGAGCGTGCCTGCCCTGCTGAGCACAAGAAAACCAGAAGTCTCGGCTCTGATGAGCAGCAGACATGGCTTGGCAGACGATGAGTCAGTCGGAGAACTCACGATCGACTCTTTTGGAGATTCCAAGCTCCAGGCATTTCCGTCCAGCACGGCCACAGACTCGCTGACCAGCGAAGCATCCAAGCTGCTGTGAAGCCTGCCAAGATTGCCCTCTCAGATCAGAGCTCCCTGCACGACTCCGCGACGTGCCTGAGCTGCGCAGCTAGGCGCCGGCGAACGAGCAGCGCTTGGCCGACGCTTGCCAAGGCCGCCCCCAGCGGACCGACCTGTGTTTCTGGTTGGTGCTCGCAATCCCGATGCCGGAACGCGCCCGAGCCTGGGTTGAAAGAAGGCTGGCAGATGTCCGCAGAACCTGATCGGGGTGGCCCGGGCCAGTGACAACATTGCAGCTTACAAGCTCATTAAAGGGATCCGGAACCGTTTCCGACCGGCGGGTTGTCGGCTGAACTTGTCACTGCGAAGTGCTTCTACTTTCAAGCTTGCCTGCGACTACTTGCAGGCTTGCAGGAGCGATGGCTACTCTTCGTCTTCCTCCTGGACCTCGTTTGAACTGCACGCATGCCGGCGATTGCTGGGGTCGCAGGCAGTCCTAGACGTACCAGGCTGGTAAGCCTGGGAACTAACACGAGCGTTGTGCAGGCTTCTGCCAGAGAGAGTTGAGTTTCATGCCTCGCGGGGACGGGTGCAAACGACGATGACTGCGAGTGAGTCGCCCTCAACACTGTCACTTTTGCCTTGTTTGCCTGCTGAATCTGGGCAAGTATTGTCAAGTATAATGCCGCAATGGCCCAAGAACTTCGGGTCAGCGAAGGGAGATCCACGAGCCGGCACGACGAAACCAAATCTGTTGTGACAGCGCCGATGGCTTCGTTCTCTTCGAGTGGTCCTAGTTCCTCTTGCACCTCCGGTCAGCAGTGACAACTAGTAACTAGTACCTCCTCAAATACCAGACCGTTTCGGACCGGCTGGGGCATTCTCGACATTCGAACGGTGCCCCTGCTACTCCGTCGCTGGGGCCGGTCGCCAAACAGTGCAACCAGATCCTTCTTGCGGAAGCTCTGCCAACGCGCATGAGCTTTCCGAGGCTGTAGCTGGGCAGCCCTCTGCCAAAATTGGCTGCACACACGTCATTCCCGAACGATCGGTCGGTGCGGTGATATCTTGGCAACGGCCCCCACAAACGCTGAATGATCCAGAATCTGGACCTCTTGCTGAGCTACACAAGCCGAACAGGTGTTATGCAACTTCTCCTACGCAACCCAAGATCGGAAAGAGCCGATGAGGAATAGCACGCCCGCAAAACGAGCCTCGGCGGCAGATCTCGTCGTTTGGAGGCTCGACTTTGCCTTTGCACTGCATTATGAAAGGGAGCTGCCTCTCACCTGCAGACCCTTAAAGTCTAAAGGAACCCCGATGGGCAAAACAGCTAAACCCTGAAAGCCTTGGCAGCCAGCTGCTGAACTTCCGCGTTTGCCAGCAGCACGGCGCAGCCCGAAACAGCCTATGACCAGTCTTTACAAGAGGTGATGGCTTAGTCTGCCGGAGGTTTTCAGGATCGCCACACGCAGCGATTATCATGTACAAGGGCTCCATGCAGCTGCGTCATGCCGCGTCATCTGGACAGAGGATTGAATCCCGTCGCACCTTGCGCACCCGCCCAGCCGCTCGCAAAGCCAACCTGCGGCATGCAGAAAAAGCCCGCTAAGTCAGAAGATTGCTCCATGTTGCACCAAGGCCCCGGCATACGGGAGATGGCCGCAATGCCCGGCGGCCCCATGGCTTCCATAAGCAGCTCAAGGAGCAAGCTGTCCAAAGTCCCCACACCGCTTGAATCGCACTTGCGCCAATCGTGGTGGAAACCGCCCGAGGTGGACTTGGGGTCCGTCAGCTCGGACAGCATGGACAGAGTGCGGCTAATAAAGGAGCAACCCAACGGCCCATTGGAAATGTCCGGAAACTTGATCGGAACACTCGCGTCGTGATGAGGCGATGACTCGGGGGGTGCCGGCCGACGCCTCAGCAAGAGGTGCTCCTCCATATGGAGGAGGTAGCGAACCACACGACCGAATTCCTGTCGCCAGAGCTGCTGCGCACTGACGCCCAAGTAGTCCTGCACGTGCTCAAAGGACCGACGGAGCTTGAAGGCCTGCGCAGCCATCTGCTGCAGTGGGGCCTCGGCATCCTGGCGGCTGCTTGCAGAGGGCCAAGATAAGCTTGCCAGCAAGGACTCGATACGACGAGCCGCCTCTCTCCGCAGGCCATCCAGCAAGACTGCCCGAGGATCCACCAGCACTGCGCCGAGAAGTGCCACATCCGTCTCACGGATGCCACGCATGAGCAGAGCGATACGCTGTGTCAGGATGCCGACCTCACTGCTTGCCTTTTCACACTTCTCCGCGTAGCTTTGAAGCTCCACCAAGCTTATCCTGGAAGGCAAGCTCTTTGGTAATTGTGCCGACTCGAGCGTTGAAAGTTGGCCAAGCAGGCGAAAGATCAGGCACGGAATCTCCTGCAAGACAGACCGCATGAATTCCACTAGCCTGTTGGAGTAGTATCCCGAAACGAGGGATGCGTGCGAGGAGTTGCCGGCCTGCCTGATACGCCGAAGTGGTGCTTCCAGTATAGAAGCAAGCTTGAGAAAGAGAGCTCTCAGCCCCTTCACACTGTCGGGCGATGCTGAAAGCAGGTTGCCCATGGCCTCCTTGTACGTGCTTAAGGCCCGCCACGCATAGGAAAGGTCTGCGACAGTCTCAATCGTTTCGAGGACATCTGAGCTGAGGCTGGCCGTCCGAAGCATCCTTTGCAGCAGCTGCCTTGCGTCGCTAAGAAAGTGCAAGATCTGAGGCTGTTGGCTAACTTCATGGAAGAGCGCCACTTCTTCCAGGGCCTTGTTGATCTGGCCCACCTTCCTTCCCAGCGCCAAAAGGTCCTCCTGGGTCTGGAAGCTAAGCTCCTCGATCCTCTGCTGCAAGTTTCGGAAAAACTCCTCCAGCTCACTGTTGCGAACGTTCCGACGCAGTGCATGCTGCCCTGAGAAGAAAACAGCCAGATCATCCATGGCTTGGGCAGCCTCCTCCTTTTGACGGGCCCAGTCTGCATCCCGACGAGCTACCAGGGGGACCAAGATGGCTTTGATCTTGTCCTCCAGCAGCGCTGTGTCGACCAAGGTGCCGAGCAGCTGCTCCTTCATCTTCGCGGAGCTATTGCAAACCACCTGGATTTTCGAGTCTAAGGTGGTTGGTTGAAGCAGCAGCCAGCGGATGCTGGTGTTGGCCTCCCGCAGCACAGAAACCAACTGGGAGACTTTGCTCGAGACGTAGTCTTCTGTCAACACACCCTCTACCAAGTACTCCTCAAGCTTGGACCGTGTCTTGGACAGTCGATCCAGGTGCTGGTCTTGGAGTTGACGCACGGTACCTGCCGTGATGGCATTGCTCAGCGCTTGGCGTGCGGCCGGATAGGGCGCCCACATCAGAAGCAGGTCGGCTGTGTATCCAAGCGCGTACGCCACGACCCAAACGTCACCGAAGTGCCGGTCTACGATCTCCCGCATGGCAATCGCATCAGATTCAAGCGTCTTCGCTTGGAAGAATAGGAGCACGTAGAGCATCCCTGCTTGAGCAGACAGGCCGTGCGACCGGTGCTCAGGTAAGGGATAGTGCCTTGAAGCCTCGTAGATATCCCCGGTTTGCAGCTTACCGAGCACGAGACGGACCGCATCCTCATGAAGCGGGAATCGCGCGAAGTAACTCTCGGGGTATCCGGGCCTTCTGCCCGCCAGCTCAATGTCCCTTTCTGGCCGTGCAGTTGACTTAAAAAGCCTGCAGACATCTGCAAAGTCATCTGACTCCCGGCTTGTGCCCGCTGTGCATCGATAGAAGAGAACGAGGGCGCGCTCGCGGCAGGGCCCTGAAATGCGTTCGTCTACGATGAGGATCATTGTTCCAAGCAAAGCAATGGCCTCTGGGAGCAAGACCGCACCCGCTGAGTCTCGAAGAATGCTCTCATGACTCTGCCCTACAAAGACGCCGACATCAATATCCTCGAGCAACTTGGCGAGGTCAGCAAAGTACTTTCGTATGGCAGACAGGACTCGGAACAAGCGCTCTGCCGGATCTGCATTGATTTCACGACTTTCCTCATCAAGTTCAATCAGCTCTGGTGTGCCAGCCACCTTCTCAACTGCGCCCTCGCGACGGAAAACTGCAAAGTCCGGCAGCACCGGCGAGAGACGTTTTGCAACTTCGCCCTCGCCCCTGATGGCGGCAGGCAAGGTTTCGGAGCATCGCTGGAGCTCCGCGACAACCGCATGCCCACGGCTGAGCAGGCGCAAAAGGGCCAAGCCACAATCCGTCTCCACCAGGCTCACAGCCATGAAGCTCACGGGGCTCACGGCCCACACTCCTCATCTCAACTGGGCAACTAACCCGGTACACTCAAGGACCTGCGACTAAAGGGCTTCCTCCGACTACAGCTTAGCCGCTGGTTGCTATGCACTGCCACGCTATGCTGCGAGACCCTTTGACTGCGACTCCAAAGACCAACGCGACCTCGTTTGAACTGCTTAAGCTGTCTGTACTGCGACCCGCGTTTGACCGGAACAGCATCCAAACCACCGTGAATGCGCACATGCCTAGGGCCCAGAGATCTTCCAGGGAAAGAAAACTTTTCCACTGAAAAGTGAAGCTCAGATCTGCTTTCCAGCCCTGTTCCTCACCTGCTCGTACGAACTCACGAGTATAGCTGACTCTCTTTTCAAGTCCCTTTTCGATGTTCGCCTTTGGCGAGTGTGCACGAGTGAAAGAGACACCAGATCTTCGCAAGCTCTGTCTCCCTTCGACGGAATCATAGGTCTTTCTGCGGTGCAGATAGAAGACGGCAGAAGGCAAAGGAGCAAAGACAGAGGATGGTCGGCAACATCTCGGCGCCCTCTCTTCCGTCTACATTGTCCGCGGCTCCTCCGCCGCTCGCAGGCAGTCGCGATCGCGGGCCTGCACTCAGCTGTGCCAAGCCCTTCTCCCTCTCCTACCCCTCACAGAAGCCAGGTTCTGGTTTGTGTGGATCTGGGATGATCTGGGTATGTTGAGTCGTCGATTTATCATTAAAATGTGCTAGACATCTGCTTTCGTGACTCAGTCGCAGACTCTTCTTTCACGGCACGGCGGCTGTGTAGGTGGCGAAGGTGGCAAATCTGCGCCGGGCTGGCCATAGAAACTCCTGCCTTGACTTTGAGCCAGAGTCTCTGCCCTGCTGTCCTTTGTTCGTTCCAATCTCACGCCCTCCACTTGGCGCCAGAGGTCATCGACCCGCTTGTTGGTTCGCGCCAAGGTACTGGCCTCTGCTCTGAGTTCGTCGATGTCCGCCTGATGCTGAGCCACGCTTACAGACATGTCCTGGACTTTGTCCTCCACTTTCTTCACAGACTTCCCCAACCTCGCCGAGCTAGTCGCTGCAATCTCCATGTCGTTGCTCACACTCGCCAGAGTCTGCTGCACCTGACCCAAGACCTTCTGCTGCGTTTCCCTCAAATTCTCGAGGTCTCGCTGGAATTCGCTTCGCACAGAGAGGAGACTCCACTCCAAACCCCTCTTGAACTTAGCCTCGGCGGCTTTTACAAGCTCGGCACTCAGCTGTCCCGTCTCCTGGGCCTCAGAAGCCTCCTGACTAGTGCGCTGATTGATCTTGAGCTGCTCATCCAGCAAGCCCTTCATGCATCTCCTGAGCTTGGCTTCAAGATCGCCGAGTTTCGTGTCTGTCTCCACCTTCGTCTGCTCACAGAGGCATTTTGACCTGCGGATGACATCCTCTAGGATGCTGCGCCACTGCGCAGGGAAGTCCTCCCTCAGAGGCGATGGTGGTGGCTCCAGAACCCGAGAAGTCTTCGGCTCTGCGCCGATGGCAGACGGGCTTGCGCCATCTTCTGCAGCTTTCGCCCAATCTGCGCCATTCTTCTGCCAGAGAGCCTTGCAGGCACATGGAAGTCTCTTGCAGCACACAAAGCTCGTTCTTCATGGCATCTACCTTACAATAGTGTGCTCTGGAGTATGCTCGTGCTGCGGAGTGTGGAACGTGCGGCCTTGTCGAGCTGAATTTGGAAGCTTCGCAGCTCACCGTCTGCAATCTGCTTGGCCTCCCACTGCTGGGACAGCACCAGCTGCTGAAAGGTCTTGAACTGCTCCTGGACTTTAGAGCGTTCACGCGATTTCGAGCAAAGGGTGTGCGGGTTTAGGTGCTTTTGGGTGTGGTAGCGGTGGAGGTTTCTTGAACTGCTCCTGCGCTTCGGTGTGACGCTGCTGCGACAGAAACCTGAGCTCCTCCACTTGTTCCAGCACCTGCTGCTGGCGAGTTTGCACCGACTGCTTGTGGTTGCTGCAGGATTCCATGATCTCTTGCTCCAGCGTTTCGAAGGCTGCCCGCACCTCGGCCAGCTCGGAGGACAGACGGCTATGGACCTTGTGGACTTCGTCGAAGTTACTGCTGTTGCGCTGGCAGCTTGCTTTGGCCGCCTCTTGCACTTCTGCTTGATCAGCCTCATTCACTCCGAGCCGTGTCTCGTGGTCCTGCAGCGAAGCCCTCGCAGCTTCTTGGTCTTCCATCAGATTTTGCAGCCTCGACGAGAGTGTCTCTACGTGCTCCTCCTGCTCCTCCATTCTTTTCTGGTAACAGGAATTCAAGTCCTTCAGGTCCTGCTGTGTTTCAGCAAGCTGACCCTGAAGCTTCTGCAGTTCCCGCCAGGCACCCTCGTCACTTGCGCGAAGGTCCCGGAGAGACACATGGACAGCGGGCGCTGCGGGCTCCGGCACCTCGCCCCCAATGCGGCCACAACTCTGGTCTGGCTGGAATTCGCTGCGTGCAAAGGTCTGAAGCTCTGAGGCGATAAGCGCCAACCGCCGCTCCTGCTCCTGCTGGCCTGCAAGACGGGCCACTTCCTTGCAGGGCGTGCCTAAACCAGATCCGAGCCCGTAGAACAGCCCTCTGAAACCCTCTGAAGTTTTCAGCTGCACGGCGCCTGCACAGTGCGAGCCAGGTCGACCAGTTGCTGGTGGCAGCGGACTGAAGCGGACACAGCACTGAGTACCATGGAGTAGGATCGAGAATAACGTGGAATACCTGGCTCTGGGGTGGGAAGGGCTTCGAAAGCTTTCGTTTCAACATCCAGAGGTCCTGGTGGGATAGCAACACACTTTGGCTTGCCTCGTCTACCTGGAGCCACACAGAAGCCAGGAATTGCACATGCCTCGCTAGCACAACCATGAAGCTCCTTCAGAACTTCAGCTCTCCTGACCCTTTCCCTGAACGGGAACCGCGTAAGTGATCGGGCCAGCATGGCGGAACGGCAGAACGCCGAAAAGCCTGGACCATCTGAGCATCTCCTCATGTCTCTTCAGCTTCTGCTACATAACTTTACATAACAGGATATAACAGGCGCCGCAAGCGCGGCTTGCACAGATGGTGTAAGCTCCCAGGCGTAAGCTACGCGCCCGAGGCAGACGATGGCAGGCTTCACGTTCATGCTAATTACATGGCTCCTTGAAAAAGCATCTTGGAGCTGCCGGGCAAATTGCAAACGCCATCTTCGACATTGTTTGCAACGCCCTGGCTGAAAAGGGACGGTCGAAGGCCTGGCACTTGAAATACTGCATGGGCAGTCCGCTTCAGGTCGACACGGTCTGAAAACTGTACGAATAGAGGGAGGCCGGCTTCGCCGAGAAGCGATGACACCTCCCGCAAGCCTTAAACATGAACTCATGAAAGTCTCCGGAACGGAAGCATCAACCGGCGCTGTTGTGGCTCCCGACGCTCGGCATTGAGGACAAAGGTGGTCCTGTTTCTGGAACACAGGAGTATCCATAGAAGGAAGACACTCGGATAACGTACTGGTAGAGCTGCTCATAGCTCAGAGCCAGGGCGGCCACGTCTGCACCCGCGCTTCCACGCAGAGGTGGCTGCCCGAAGGTGTCACGACACTCCACGGGCTCCGCAGATCTCTGCATCAGCCTTGTAACCTCACGCTTCAGGATAGCTGCATGGCTTGGGCTGGAAAAGAGCCACTCTTGGTACCGGCAAACTGCCCAATGATGCGAGTCTTGCGAATCATCGCAGCCCGGCAAGTGGCCCAAGAAGGCCAAGCGGTGCACGACCGCCATGGCCTTTTGAGCAGGATCCGTTACAGTACGCAAGGCACGTCTCGGCACACGCACGAGGTTTTTACCACCTGGCCCGGGCGTCGGACATGACAACTCCTCACTGGGCGTTCGAGGTGATGGGGATTCTGTGGGCGTGCAGCGACCCTGCACGCTCCCGTCATCTTCCCACACTGAAGTACCCGTGTAATGGCTGCCCTGCATAGTTTGCATGTCACTGCCCCAGTACGAGGTCATGTTTCGTTGCACAGCCTCCAGCTGCTGCATGAAGGCGGGCGTAATCAGCTGACACACCTCCTCGATTCCGGGGCGCTTCTCAGGATCGATTGCGAGGCACTCCTCGCAAGTAACCTGCATGAGCTGCGAGTGCTCAGATCCAAGACGCTCGTAGTCGCATTCCACGATCTTCCGCGCCACACTAATGGGATTGCCTCCTGTAAAAGGATCTCGAAGAGTTGCCATACGGTATAGAAGGCAACCCAGAGCCCACACATCAACTTTGTTCGTGTAAGGTCTGTGCTGCACAATCTCTGGGCTGCAGTACAGAATTGTACCCACCATGGACTTCATCAGGGAGGCGGCACCGCCTTTCTGACGTGCGAGTCCGAAGTCAGTAACCTTCACAGCCAGCGAGTGCGACTGCACCAGGACCTGCCACAGGCACGCAACAGGATTGCACGCTTGGGCGTTTGCATCTAAGCCTTCAACTCCTCTTCTCCTGCTAGACCCGTGGTCAAGAAGGGATGCAATGAACAGTCCCAGAAACCAGCCGCCAACATTATTCCCCCAGCCGGAGACATCAATGTGTCTTGAAAGCTGCACTTTAACAACCTGTCGATGGGCTGACTTAGCTGCTGATGACCCAACGGAAACGGGAAGCGAGTCTTCCGCAACTTCTCTAGCTGGACTGACTGCTGCTTGCTACAGAGTTGGAAGATGCAAACTAGAGTCTCGCGTGGCCGGGGCTATGTAGACGAAAACGAGATGAAACAAGGAAGGCTGGCGTTGTTGGGAGAAAGATCGCGATGGGCGATCCGCTTGTCGATGTGCAGATAGCGTAGCGCCAAACAGATCTGTACCTCGTCAGCAGCTCCAAAACTGCTGTCGTGACTTACCTGGCTCTAGCAGACCTAGCATCGGAGCTTGACCAGAGGAAATCTCAACCTTCAAGGGAAAAGTCATCCACCGGAGTGCTTCATGATTCATGTCTGCAAGTAACCCTTGGGCACAAAAATCCGCCACGCTTGCTGCTCTGGAAGCTTCTGCAAGCCTCGAAGAGCAAGCTGATCGGCAGAATCGGGAGTGCTAGAAAAGAACATGCCCATAATGAGTGACCAGTGTGACTTGTGCTCAAGATGTGTCTCCTGACTTGACAGATCAAGATCCACGGACTGCACCGGCCTTTCTCTTTGGCAGAGGCTGTCAAGGCCTGAAGCGGCACCCCGCTGCAGAACTCCATCACGATCCTGGCTTCTGAATCTGGTGCTTCGGCATCTGGGCCTATGCATGCCTGCGCAAGACCATAAACGTTGCAGCTTAAGGCATGTGTGACTGCCACCCAATCGGGTCACCAAGGCGCCAAAGGGTGCTTGCCGGGCCGGCACCCGTTATGAAGGAGGTGAAGTACCGCACCACCTGGGGAATACTGCGGCAGGGGCGGTCTTTTTCGGGCTTGGATCACGGCCGCTGCACCTCATGATACCTCATGTCGAGCAGCTTGGAGGCGGGCGTTTGGGTGATCCAGCTGTCGGAGCAGATGCACTTCCAAGTTGATATCCTGCACAAGTCACAAGAGTCGTTGGCTGCTGTCCTGGGCCCTCTGAAGAACAGTCTCCGCTCTTAGCTCAATGCTTGCAAGTGATGGATCGCCACGGGGCTGTCCTCCGCAACGACTTCCTGAGGAGCCTGGGAGAACGGATCCAGGAACAGCCAAGTCTTGAGGAGCTATCGCCCAGGACCGCGACATTCTGAGGGCTGTGAGCTTTGGGTGTGCATTCATGCTGCCTGGAACAGCTCCAATCACCGCTACCACTACAGCTCGATGTAATGCTGCAAGCGTTGCCGCGTGCCGCTCAGCTCGCCACGCCGGGTTAGGCAAGACCGTGACTTCCGAAAGCGGGATCTGCGACAGGAGAATCTCGCAAGGCGGAGCGATGCATCCCTGCCGCCCTGGGATCACCTCCTTCACGGCGAAGTCGCCTGAGGGTTATATCTCACAGGTCCAGGTCTGGATTGGCAAATGATCATGTTGTATCATGTTGTATCGAGCCTGGCATGTCAGGCCGGCGTGCTAAGTGGACACGGCCAAAAGCACCAGAGCCAACACACCTGTGCCGAAGCGGTTCCCATGCATCATGCGACAAAGGATCGCCACTGCCACGTACAGTATCAGTCTACAAGAAGCTGAGATCATGGCTCCACGAGCTCATAACCAGCGATGACTCGCCTGAGCGCTGCACAGCTGCTATGAACTTCACTCAAGCTTGACGAGTGCAGTGTAGTGAATCCCCAATTGCAGCTGGCTTGGGAGCAAGGCTCGCAGTCCCACTCATCTCGCGTGCCTGGCAATGGCACCACGGTGCTCGGAGCTCGGAGTCAAACATCGGTACTGGTACTCGCGGTTTTGTTCCCGACTCGCACATGACGTGCGCGAAACGCGCTCCCCCAGGCGTGCCGGTGCTGCGGCCCAAGAATGGCACTCTCCTCGTCCGTTCTCATCAAATCCCTCCACAGCCCCAACAGCGAGCCTACAACCTGCTCCGATTCTGAAGCCATAAGCGACTCAAAGTGTCTTCGTTTTGCGTAAACGTCTTTTCCAGGCTCTGGCAGATCGAAACGCACAGTATATACAAGGGCTGACGCAACACACAGTTGAGCGATGAATGAGATAATGAATAAACGAATGATCTCGACTGTGTGTGGATCCGTTGATGACTGCATGCCTGTGTCTGTCTCTCTCTGTCCCCCTCTCGCTGTCTGTCTCTGTCTGTGCATGTCTGTCTCCTTATTCCTCCACCACTGGGCTCCCACCTTGATCTTCGCTTCCCAGGCGTGACACGAAAGGCGTGCGACAACTTGACATGGTCCCTGTCTGCGTCTTGCTTCGGCAGGTCTGGAGGAGAGGGTTCCTCCCCGCCCCCCGCCAACTGCACACCCCATTTTAGAGTGGAAAAGAGGCAGCTGGACTCGTCTGTCCGAAGGGTTAAAGGCCTAGGAAATCCCAGGAAGCTGCCTTGACCCCTCTTTCTAAGGAAACTGCTTAGGCACTAGACTGTCTTTCGCAGTGCCAGACGGTGTCCGATATTCCAAGCCGGAGCAACAAGGATTTGATATCGCTGACAACTGACGATTTGTCCCTGCGATGCGAGAGATGGTCGCGCAGCTACGGAGACCAAACAGCGGCAAACTGCACATGCACCACTCCTCTGATCTTGTTTCTCCTTCCTTCTTTCCTTCCTTCCTTACTTCCTTCCTTCTTGTTTCTCCCTCGCTCTCTCAGTCTCTTCTTGCTGTTCTGTGTAGGACCTGCAGAGCATGGCATGATCCCTGTTAGTGCTTGTGAGCTTCCAGTTGTCCTGAACAAAAGCACCAGCAGCAACAGTGACCATGAAGGTTACTCATGCTTACATGCAGGCCTCGTCTCTTTCGTCTGTCTCTCTGTCTCTGCTGTTAACACGAGTTTGCTTCAGCAGCCGGCCTTCACGGAAACCATTCGGTGAATTCGTGCCATCAGCAGTCTTTGGCTGAGGCACTGCAAGAGTGGGCATGTCTCTGCCCTTGCTGTAGAAATCTCTATACCTGACAGCAATGCAATGTGGAAACTGAATCGGTGGCCAGTTTACACCAACCCTCCAACTTGACTGTCCAGCACGCCTGCCGAAGCGGGTGTGCAGGAACGTTAACTCTTTCTCCTTGCCGAATTCATGTGCTATATGCTGCCCATGATGCGGGTGGAAAACGGCTGTCTCGGGTACTGAGTCTGCCGCTGTCAAGCCGTTCAACACTTCCAAAAAGCTGTCGTACGCCTACAGACCACGAACATTTTCTGAGGACTAGTTGAAGGGAAAGGCCGAGCACACCACCTCCAGAGGCCAAACATAGTTGCCGATGTCGACAAAGCGTGCAAGGAGCTTCTCGACGGCAAAGATGTGCTTAAATGCCTCCACATTCATTATATGTGTGGTTACTGCTGGTTGCAAGTGCTGCTACTGAAGTGCTGCTTCTTTGCTACTGAATTGATGCTGCCCCTAGTGCCACAGTTCTACTTCCACGTGGCAAAATGCTAACAACATCTTGCTACGACTATCACTACCACTATCACTACCACGACCACGAGCGCCACCACCATCAATACTACTACGACGACGACTACTTCCACAGCTGGGCCGCTGCCAGTTCCACTGGGCGCGCTATCCAAGGTACACTCGGGCTCCGCGTTCAAGGCACACTCGGCAAAAAAATCCAAGGCGAACTTATCGAGCTGCCGTGCCCCTGGCACACTCGGAAAAAATCCAAGGGCAAAGGAGTGAATCCAGTGAGAATCTGTTGCCCAACACGAAAACCCTAAGGAGTGAAATTAGCAGGAACGTTTTCCCCAAGACGGAAACCTTAAGGAGTGCATCCAGCAGGAACCTTTTGCCCAAGATGAGAACCCTAAGCAGTAAATCCGAGGAGAATCGTTTGCCCAACAGGAAAACCCTGAGGAAAACCCCGAACCCTGGAGCCGGGCAGGGGCACCCTAGCCTCAAATTTTACAGCACGTAAGGGACCTGGAGTGCGCCCTGTATTCAAAAGAGGCGTGAGTGCACCTTGGATGCAAAACCGAGTGCGCCTTGGATTTGCTGGCCAGTTCCACTGCCACTGCCACAGCCACTACCACTGCTACTGCTACTACCACAACGATACTACTGCTGCTACTACTACTTCTTCAACTACTACTACTACTACTACTACGACGACGACGACGACGACCACCACCACCACCACCACCACCACTACTACAACCACCACCACCACGACTAGTACTACTACTACTACTACTACTACAACTACTGCGACGACGACGGCGACTACTACTACTACTACTACTACTACTACTACTAGTAGGTTTCTGATCAACATGACTCGGATTATGTTTGCCACGGTGGCGACTGCGTTTGTGGCACAAGTCAATGGTCACACAGAATCGCACTCCTTGCGATTCCGCTCCACGGCGAATAGGAACCGTAGCAACCTGTGGGTGTAAGACTTAGGATCTTGGGCTTAACGCTTTGCGGTGGAGGCTTGTCAGGACTTTGGGGTTTTTGGGGGCTTGTGGGGAGCTTGTGGCTTAGGCTGACGGTTTGGGGGTCTGGGGCTTTGAGGCTTGGGGTTCAGGCTTTTGCTAAGGCTTGTGAAGTTACGGTTGGGGTTTCGGGCTCCTGGGCTTCAGGGCTCGCGAGGGGTTTATGGCTTGTGGGCTTACGGCTGGGGGCTTAGAGCTTCTGGGCTCAAAGTCCGTGGACATTCGGCCTTGAGAGGGCTTTCAGGACCTTGGGGGCTTGTGGATTTAGACTTCAAGCCGAACCGCGGACGCTTCAGGGAACAAGTGCGCAGACAGCCAAGAAAAGTTGGGTTCGGGACCTGGCAGCCGCCCGCTGCACATCCCTCGCCTGAAGAGGGATCTCAAGGGTTGGTTGAAAAAGGATACGTCCGTCTCTGGCTGCCCCGGGAGAGACCAAGGGAAGCTCAGGCGGCATGGAGCGCAATAGCAAACATGCAGCTGGTTCAAGAAATTGCCAGCCTGACATTCGAAGCTTCCTTCGACATCATCTTCCAAAAGCGGATGGGGTCCCAAACTGGCGCAGAGAGAGCGCCTCCCTCTCAGCTTCAGCAGACTACGACTACCCCAAAAAAAAGCTTGCCTCGGTGAGAGCTCAAGCATTAGCGCTCCGAGAGCAACGAAGCCGTCAGCTTGCAGCCGCAACTTAAGCGCGCACTCGTCATCCTGCAAACATAAAAGGTCCGTGCATGTCAGTGCTACGGAATGCTTTAGTGCGATGGGGGGCGTACCATGCACATCTGAGTGATAGCATCCAAGGCCGCCAGGACAACCTTTAAGTTAGCCTCGGTCAAGCACCCTTCGTTTTCATGGTGCTGGCCATGGTCATCGTGATCATCACTAAGATCCTGGTACACAACCTGGCTGTAAGTCTGATTGACTACCACACGGGCCACTCGACAAAGCGGTGCTGCACGTCAGTGGGATCCGGACATCGTGGGACTTGTAGCAAACCCTGGATGCTGGTTGGACTCTGAGCTGTTAATGCAAGAAGACGGACATCCAAAAATCACTCCCCACCTGACGAGTCGCAGGATGACGGCCAAAGCATTGTGCTCCAGCAACTCCTAAAGTCTCGAGAAACTTTGGTGAAAGCAGCAACGGCACTGCGAGGCACTGCGAGGCTGCGAGCTGGCCTGGACTGCCCATTGATCCCCACTCTCCACGTGGTCGCGGGCAAGGTTCTGCTACGACAGCCACGAGCCATCGCAACAACAATAAGGAGCTGCGGGAAGGCCTTGCAGCACATCAGCCTCGGACCACGAGATGACACAAACCTCGAAATCTGCGGACTGACCCGAAGCTGGGCAGCTGGCAAGTGAAGCCATGTGCAAGCCTGCCCCTGATCAACACCTGTCAATTACTGCTCTGCAACTGGATTTGTTCGCTCTTGATGTGTCACCGTGCGCACGCCTCCCGAGAGGTCCGAGTAAACTCTCAGCTGGTTCAAGACCTGCAGCTGGGCTGCAGAGCTTCAAATCGGCAGCGGCTGCACCAACTACGTGATCAAGACGGTTGCATGCCCTTCTTGGGAGAAAGTGGGATGAATGTTTACATGGCAGGGCCGGCCAGTGAACAAACACAGCATCAGACACCTGCAAGCCAGAGAACCGCCGTGCCACTTCTGGTGCTTGTCCCATCTAATGCAAGGCCCAAACTGCTAATCCCTGCAAAAACGTGCATTTCTTATTCTTGATACTGCTAATGGACGCCGAGTGCTTGCAACTCCTTCCCTGTCCTTCTGGCTCTTGTTTATACTGCCGAGGAGCCAGGGGCAGTGCCTGAAGCCTGCGAAAGCGCTGCCGGCCACCAACAGTGCGGAGGAGCTGGTCCTTCCAGGGCTTCGAGGGAGAGCTGCTGGGGCGGCGCGCTTTTTGCAGCTTCCTCCTTCGTGCAAGCTCAGGTTTTGCTCGGTTTTGCTTGGGAGTGTGGGATGAGCATTGAGAAGTAGTGGACCCCAGGATGTGTCGACGATGGCAGCGATGCTGAGACCAGTCTCATGAAAAACTCGCAGCTGGGGTTACAGCGTGGATCATGCCCAACAACCATTCCAGGAGCACCCTTACCCAAGACCAAGCGTTGAGTTCAATATGCACACCACACTGCGATCCACCCCAGAACATGCACTGTCGCAGGAGCACGACCTTGGAAGGCAGAAACGTGGGGCACGGCCAATGGGAAGCACGAATCGCACCCAAACATACGCGACTCTGCACCGGGGCTGTGGCAGGACGACGAGTAGCACTCGGGAGCACGATTGAAAATTCAGGCAAACTCTGAAGCCCTCAAGACGCCGGGATTTCGAGATCACACCGACGAACCTCAAAGCGCCGAAGAGTGTGGCACTGCTACGACTTCAGAGATTTATTTCAGAGTTTCGGGCGACTGGTGGCCCAAAATGAGCACAGGACTGTGCTGGACAGAACTTGATATTAGTCGAAACTGTCCGCACCCTCAGCAACCTGATTACACCGTTTGGAGAATAAACAGGGAAGCAAAGGAACTGCGCTGATCAGAAGCATCACACCTTCTGCAGGAACCGATGACAGAACCAGGGGCGGTCCCGGTGATTGACCCAGAAAGCTTGAGAAAGATATTGATTTCTTCTCACGGTAAATGGGCCTGATCATCAAAATGTTCGATAAATCGGGCAGGCCAGCTATTGCCTGAGATCCACAACCTGATACGTCCGCTTGTGAAGGTGTTGTCTCGCTTGTACAGTTTCGAGGAAACAGTGTCACAAAAACGGTTTCGCGCCAAGTTTGGGGAAACGAGTCGGTGGGTGGCAGGGGGATGCCGGTGCATGGAACGTGGAGTACGTTGATGCGATCTTTGTTCTTGGGCAGCAATCTTTGGTCCTTCCCGTGATGCCGGCAGATAACTTAGCCGGTCCAATGTCAGATGCATGTTCGCGACAGTGGGATCTGCATTACAGCACCAGCAGCGAAAAGCTCGATTCACCTGCAATGAAACAGCGCTCAAAGAACGTGGCCGTGAGACGGACATGTCGTGAAGGTCCAGAAGTTGGGCAGCCAACTGTTTCAAAGACCACTCGGAGGACAGCAACAGCTGCAAGCCTTTAGCCACCAGCTGGGCGACTGAGATATCCAAGCCGGCCGGAAGGAGTTTCTAAGCTCAGGACCGTGTTGAATGAATGACGAAAGCTTGCCACTTGTATCAGCGCCGTCCAGCTGAGGCAAAGCCTGCAAAGCTGGCTGCTCGCTAGGAGAATGGCACTGACAGTGCTGCGATGCTAACGATGGTACGATGAAAGTGAACCACAAGACCGGGTCAGAACCACTGTAAGAATCAGAATCGTGGGATACTGACGGTACTGATGGTGGTGATGATGCTGGAGATGACGATGGCAATGAAAGAGAGTAATGATGACGATGACGCTGATAATGACGATGAAAGACAACAAGGATCATGACTCATCATGATGAAGATGCTTGCGACGACCAAACAAAATGGTGATGACACATACAAATAGTTTTAGCAGTAGTCGTGGTCGTCATGGTCGTGGTCGCGGTCGCGGTCGCGGTGGGGGAGGTGGTGGTGGTGGCGGCGGCGGTGGCGGTGGCGGCGGCGGTGGTAGTGGTGGTGGTGGTGGTGGTGGTGGTGACCGCAGCGGTACGTAGTGGTTGTGGTCGTGGTCGTGGTGGTCGTGGTCGTGGTTGTGGTCGTCGTCGTCGTCACAGTAGTAGCAGCAGCAGCAGCAGCAGCAGCAGCAGCAGTGGTGGTAGTAGTGGTCGTGGTGGTCGTGGTGGTGGTAGCAGTAGTGTAGCAGAAGTTGGAGCAGCGGCAGCAGCAGCAGCAGCAGCAGGGGTAGTGATTTGGCTGCGTAAGGACAAGTTGAAGTCTGTGTTTTCAATCCACAAACCTTTGAAAAAGCTAGCCGCTGTGTGAGAACCACAACCACAAAGGAAGCTACGAGCGAATGCAAAATCAGGGCCCACTGGAAGCCACTCGCTGAAACTGCATGGGTGTCCCTGGGCCGACAACTCAACCCCACCCGCCCCACCCCCCACCCCCGTGCCACAAAAGCCTCTAGAACCAAAGAAACCTGCAATGCAGCCAAAAGTACTGCTTCTGTTATTACCTCTCCTTCCACTCATCAACTACAAGTACCTTCTCTGCCCTGCTGATAATACCCCTTCCACTACTGCCATTCGCTGCACACCACCGAGTTGTGTGGATACCCCGACCAGACGACAGCGACAGCGATAACCACAACCACAACGACGGCCACGACAGAGCAACCGCCTATGCAACAGCAGCAGTAGTGGCCGTACAGCCGTCACAGCCGTAAGCAACCTTCATTCCGAGCCGGCTTCCGTGAGCCAGAAGGCTCTTTTCTCCTCTGGACTCCCCACGTCTTTGCTGCCGATCTCTGTATCAGAAGTGAGACACGGCCAGGCTCGGGGCATGGACTCATACCGAGTGCTAGAGCTGCTTGAGTTCTAGGCATTAGCGATACGTGGAATCCAATACCAGGTCCCAGTGGGATTGCCTAGTTCTCTGAAACCTCTGGCTGCTAAGATGACCTCAATCTTAATATCGCTTGTACTTGCCCTTGTCACCTTTGTTCAGATCCCGTTCCAGGACGGCCATCTTCTTGCGCATCTCCTGGCAGTATTCCTCTGTAGCCTTGAAGACCCAATGCTGCACACCCTAAGCGAAGAGCGCGGACACTGCGCCTCCTCCTTCTTTGCCTCTTCCATTGCCTGCTTCTTCAGACGAGCCTCTCCATCATCTCGAGAATCTCACGGTTCGCAACAGCGTCTGAAGCGGACTGGCTACACGTTACGGCTATGGTCCTTCTCTTTCTCCTTCAAGAGAAGCAGCTTTGCTTCTTCAGCCCTTGCAGCCCGTTGCAGCCCGTTGCAGACATGCAGCGAAAGAGCAAGTAGGAGTACCGCTGAGGCTACAGCTTGCTCAGCTTCTTCTCTTCAGGGGCCGGTTCCTCACCTTCGGCAGCCTCCTTTGCTTTGGCGGCAGCCTGGAATTTCAAGATTGCTCGCGCCACTGAAACGTGACCAGAGCCCAACAATCTGACCAGTGCCAAGCATCGCCAAGCCTTGTCTGCTGCAATCTTGGCCAACCGATCGAGAGTTTCCTGGCGATTCTTCGGATGCTTGGGCGCAGATTTTTACACTGCTTGGCCGAATGCCTTCTTCTCCCTGCTGCGTGACCGTTCCCGTGCTTCGTTTTTCTTCGCCTCCTCCTCCTTTGGCCACTCTGGGGTTGGGCAAGCGGAGGCTCTGTCAGCAACTCTACAGAGAGCGAGAGGCCTGATCCACTGCCTCAACTATCTTGGCTTTGGTGCCAAGCCTCCACTGCAGGTCGCAGGGCTGTGTTGCAGGGCTGTGGGCAAAATTTCAGGACCAGATACCTCATCTCCGGACAAAGTGCAACAGCAACACAACCACGCAACAAGCCTCCAGGCTTCTGCAAGGGACTTGACGGCGGCAGATTCCTCCTGGAGCCAGTGCAAAGCCTATCTGAACTTCCTTTGTGGCGGCTCTGTCGCCATTTGAAGTCCTCTACAGAAAACGAGGCTGAACATGCGCCCTCCTTTGAGGCTGTCTCAAGTCCAGAGCCCTTCGGCTTCTCCGGCATCTCCCAAATTAAATCTTCCGACACCCTCTCACCTCAGCTCAAACCTAAACCCTCAACCCCGAAACCCCTTAACACCAAAACCCCCTAACTCCGTGCCTCTATCCCACGAGCCTCATTCCGATTGGGAGCCCCCCTCTTCTGACAAACCCGGCCTCTTCCCTCAACCTCCTCGCTTCGCTGCGAGATAGCTTGGGACCGCCAGCGATCTCCACGGTGCCTATCTGATGTGAGGTTTTGTTGTCAAAGGCAAAGGGCGTTCACCAAATCGGGGAGTTACGGTGTTGTGCGGCCAGCAGCCGCAGATGGGTTGAATACGGGACTGTCTCGAACATGCTGCACGTGCTGCCGATTACATGACCGTTGTGCGTCCGGCTCTCGCGGTTGATGGTACGTGCTTACCTGAATTTGCCCACCGGCTTCACATGCCATGCTTCAAGACCTTCTTGCAACCCCGCTGCAGGCTATCACAGTAGCCTGACAAGATAACAAAAAGTGTATTCATGAATCCACGAATTCTGAATCGACGGCCATGTGGTGCCTGGAGCAACTGGCGGCCCGGAGCTCATGGCACCAGAGGCGGCAACGCGGGGTCTAGGGAAAAAATACCCGACAATGCCCGACCCATCGAGAACAGACTTCAAAGCGGACCTCGCAAGTATCGGCCTTCTGACCCGCTGTCTTCTTGTTGGCGTGGCTGAGAGTGTCTTATGATGCAACTTCGCTTCATCCTGCATTCCCACTTGAACCCGAGGCGGTGATCCAGTGAAGCTTGCAACTTGCTTTAGCTAGTATGAAATGCATGCATAAGCCATTTAAGCATACCCATCATCGTCCATCATCCTGAAGGAAAGGTCAACTGTTCCCGAATCGTCCGGACAAGTCCCGATCTGCTCACGCATGGCCTTGAAGCTCTCCTGCGCCGATGCTTGCTCCAGCTGCTCCAAGACTCCTGGGCTCCTGGAACATTGCTCTTTTCCTCGCTTTGACGTATTCTGTTAGAGCCAGGGATCAGGCTTCGGGACGTAGTGTGCTTGTCCATCAGGCTCGTATCAGCAAAGTCCCGACAGGTCCAAAGCTAGAACACACAAACAAAGAGGAACGAAGGCACTGAACTCCGGAATCAATGTACGAAAGCACGTGGCCTAGTCAGCTGCACGGCTGTCTCAAGGGCGCACCTTGTGGTCAGCGTTCCGGCATAGGGGTTTCCGGTTTAGGTCTTGAGGACTAGATTGTGACCAGAACGCTGGTGTTTGCCCCTACCATCTACGCCGCATGTCTGTGCTCGGGTTCCGTCTTGTGATGTCTGCCTGCTTGAATGCTGCTCAGCCACTTCGCTTCAAGCTTTCGCAGACGGCTAAAGTGATTGAAGCTGTGGTGAAGCAGCACGCCCGGGTCCACTGGCAGACACGTTGTGCACATGTACGTAGAAGCATGTAAAGCCATAGCTAGGCTCCCAATAGCCATACAGCTCCCAGTAGGAGTTGCAGAGGCAGCTGGTGCGGATCATCAAATTTGTGCTTTGCAGCCCCTGGGCCTCTGCACAAGGGGATGACAGTCCTTGCAGTCGCGACGGGAAAAGCGCAAAAAGCGGGCATCTGCGCCGCAAGCTTTGGACATGTCGAAGCGTGGCAGAGGCACTCTGTGAAGGAGCCTTGCCATGGACGGCAAGGCCTCGGCAGCAAAAAGGGCGACAGCATCACGGCGAAAAACTTGTCTTGTAACACTGTCCCTCAATCAAGGACATATAGCATGTAGGCGCAGCAACAGAAGCCCCACACACGCACAAAAAGCCGGGAATCCGGACACCCATCTCTGCCAGTCGGCTCCGCCTGTCCTTGACAAGCGCTGTGGGAGGTGGGTGAAGAACGAGTACTTGAGGCGCCTTCTGTCTTTATGGGTACATGCGGAAGGCGGTCATATTTCAATTGCCACTTAGAGGCATTTCGTGGTAAACCTGCGTGCGCTGCATGCCAACAGTTCACTGGACAGCGTTGCCACTCCTGCCGGGAACATCCCAATTTCCTGAGTCCTAAGCCTAAGCACCCCTGAAATCAAGATCTGACGGCAAAAAATGAGCCAGCACGAGTGCCTCTGTGCTCGCATAGCGATTGAGCATGCCCGCGATTTCAGAGACGCAGAGGCCAGCCACGGTGACGGCAAGCCTCGACAGCCAAGAAGGTCTTTCATCACTCCTCTGAAAGGTGGCCAACATTCTCAATCCAGGAAGTCCAATCCCGCACTCCTCCCAAACTCAGAAACCTGACGTTCGATGTTGCTAGACTCTTCAACAAGCACAGAACACAAAGAAAGTCGCAGGCTGGCACCTGTTGGCGATCCCACTGGTAGAGGCTTCGTAGAACTGTATTCCTGTCGCAGATTGTCGGGTTCGGCGTTCGAAATCCTTCGCCTGCTCGTCGGCGGGCGTCTTAGTGTCTTCGGTATTCTTAGGTCTTGATTGCTGACGCTGTTTGGTTAACCATACTCGCAGCAGTGCTCACCCGGCCTTGTCCAAAGCCACCTTCTACCTCTGCAAGATATTCCGACACAAGCTCCGGCAAGATCCTCGCATGGCACTTTGCTCCGGTGCCGCATTGAGCTCCTAGGTCCTAGCTCTGAGCCATGCAAGAGAGGGGCCTCAGTACTTCTGGGGCACGGCTGCTGGAAAGGGCCTGACCCGGTGCAGAGTGAACACTTCGCCTGCCACCTTCTCAGAACTTTGCTGCGGTGCGGGGGCCGGGCGTATGCAGACTTTTGGCTTCTCTCACTCCTGGAGAAAGGTCCCGTCGCATCCCAAGCAAGCCGGTGCCGCAGGGTCTCCTCATTTCCAATGGAGGGAGCCGGAAACGCTCGCGCTCAGCTTGAACCTCAGCCGTGTGGGAGAGCACAAGACAAGAAGGGGTTTGTTTGTCCAAGGGCTGTGCATCTGCCAGGTAGCCCGGCCCTTCCGCCACAACCGAAGCTTCCAACGGCAGACTGTGCTCGACTCGCGGGGCCTGTGCATGCGACCTCTTCCAGGACTTCCGCAGAGGGAGACCTGGTCAGGGAAGACATGGATTAGCTGCTGCACGCATCGGCACGCATCTGCACGCAATTCACATCGCCTCTTCATGGGCTCAGGGCTCCTCCACCTGGTTCGAGGAGATGCACAGGCTCCTTGCGCAGCAAGGGTTCCGGTCTCGCTTGCAAGGCTGGCACACACATGCAACACTCCTGAACGAAGGCTCGGTGGCGGCAGCCCCGGAAGATCTGGTGCCATCACCTCTGCGAAGGCGAAGTCCTAATCGGCTCTCTGCTCTCTTCTCTCTGAGACCATGGCCCGATAGCAGGCTGGTGGCACCGGCGTCGGCCTTGCAACTTCTTCTTTTTCGTGCTTTCATTCGTCACGCCGCTGAGGCTGCCGGCAGCTCACGACCGCGCTCTTGCGTGCTTTGCATGGGAAGCTCCGTCTCCTGGACGCAGCGATCCTCTTCGCATCTCTTCGCGTTGATGCACACGACCAGCAAGGAAGGCCTCGAAAGCCGACTTCTTCCACCCTTTTTCAAGCAGCCTGGCCATCTTTACGTCCAAACTTCCACGCACAGGTCAGAAACTGGGGATTGCAAATGACGAGCATCGGCCATGACGAACTTGGAGACATGTCAGGAGCTCGCAAGCTGGAAATCGGGATCGCGCCTTTGATTCCAGGTACATAACTCACACGCTATTCCTGTTGACGACACCAGGTATCCAGTATCAGGGATGAATGATGGAGGGTGCACTGTTCCCTGAGGCGTCAACGTGAGTAACCGCAAGCACCTCATACACAACGGTATAACTGCCCCCGACACGCAAAGATGTTTGAATCGTGCATCCATGCATCTACAGATGAAGATGGAGGACTAGTGACTAGTATCTGAGTTCGGAACTGCAGTATCCTCAAAGTGAACACCCGCCCCTTCTTCTCCTCGCGTCAACTTAACGCACTGCAGGATGCAAAGCTCATTCTTGCATGTAAATAGGCCTTGTGCTGCGAACATATGATCTGCCGAAGCTCCTAGCGGGCAGATTGCAACTGCAATACCTGCAATGCTTCAACAAAACAAAGCACATCAGGTTGAAAGAAGTGCTCTAAGGGCCTTTACACTTGCCACCCTCAACGGCTTAATACGACTGTCCACATTAATTCTGTTGTTGATACTTCTTGTCGTGTCCTCTTGCAAGCGGCGAAAGAGCTGGACATAGCGATCCATGGCCCCCTGCTCGTGACAGTGTCATGGCTCTTCGCTCGCGAATGGCAGGCACTGCAACGCATACGCCAATGCCGAGGCCACCACATAGCGTGTGTCCCTGAAAACGTAGCGCTGGGAGTGTGCCTGGAGAGTGGAGGCGTGTGAGTGGAGATAGCTCGGAGCAAACACAAACGTTCCTGCCTCGATGAAAAAGTCCATGGCTTCTGCGAGCTCCGGAGAGTCCTGATCTGTTCTGGGCTTGTCCCACAGAAATCGCTCATCCATCTGGGCAGCTGGCATCCTTCTCGTAGGCACCTGAAGAAAAGGGGTCTCCGAGGCAGCATTGTTTGTGTTTTCATCTGGCATCACCTGGCCTTCCAGGTGCTCCGCCAGCCGGACTAAGGAAGCAATCTCGCCCGGGCTGTGCACCTCATCCATGGGGCCTCAGCCAACATGGCGGCCTTGCAAAATGCCGGAGGCACCGCGGAATCTGAGCAGCGGACCCGTCCAGACTCAGACCACAGAGGAAGCCATGAAGCCACTGGCCCACCTCTGGGCTGAGGAAAGGAGCCCAGGCTTCTTTTTGGCGGAATTACATTGGAGATCATTGGAGTCAGTACCACTTTCCGCAGTCATGTTGCTGATGACGAAGACGATGATCATCATCATCATCATCATCATCATCATCTTCATCTTCATCATCATCATCATGTTCAGCTGCATCATCATGGACAGCAGCCGCAACAGCAATTGCAATAGCAAAATCAATAGCAGTGGCAGTAACAGCAACAGCAGCAGCAGCAGCAGCAACAACAACAACAACAGCAGCAGCAGCAGCACCACCACCACCACCACCACCACCTACAAAAACAGCAAGAACATCATCGTCGTGATCATGTGAAATTCAGTTCCCATGGAGCCACCCACCGAACTAGCACATCCAATGGGATGCACAACATCGTACATCGAAGACGCACGTTAGCATTTGGCTCATTAGACATCTCAGGGGGCAAGGGGGAGATGCACAGAGGGCCTCCACCTTTTCCGGAAAGCCCCTTCTGGCATGGTATGCATGGCATGGGTTCACATTTCAGCTTTGGGCAATGCATGCGAGTCTCCCGGTCACCAGGCTTCAATTGCATCTTCTCTCGGGTGGGGGCCGCATACTCTTTGTGTGCTCATGTGGCAAACGGCTGAGACAGATGAGATCAGTTGCGAGCCATCATACAACCGACATGCCGCTGGCCACAATGCTCTGCAAAGCAGTCACTTCCGCTCTGAGGTGCTTCCAGACCTTTTCTTGACTGCTGCACGCCGTCCCTAAATTGCAATGGGCCCTGCGGTCTCGTTTGGGGTGAAAGCTGACTTAAAGAATGTGGCGAGCGGGGCAGGAGCCACGTATTGTAGCAAGAGCAAGAAAGAGTTTCTTCGTAGTTTATGAACGAAGTTCGACGGATGTGATTGCTTAGCAGACTAGACATTCCTAAGATCTCCTGACTGGAGAATTCCCCGATGTCTTGCCGCCATTCATCAGCCAATGCGCCCTGCAAGGCGAGCAAGGACTCAAACGCGCACAGCAAGAGATCCCCACCGGACCTGAGGCTGGCTGCTCGATCTCGCGTTTGCCCGGCTGCATTAAGCATTTCGAGCCCCTGCTCCCAGTCCTGGTGCCGGGGAGGGCAACTCTTCTTTATCAACCTTTCCCAGCTTGGGGATCCTCGAGTGAAGTAGGTCGCGTGATCTTCGGATAGCCAGCGTCGTCATCGATGTTGAACATCACAGGCTCTCGCGACGGACTCGCCTCCAGCCCAGCATCGAATGTGGCTCGAGAAGATATGTGCCTAAGCTGAGCTGCCTCAGAGGGTGCTTCTTCACTTGCACCTCCAAAAGTACTTTTGGTGGATTCCTGGGGACAGCTGGCTCGTCAGTTTAACCAAGAACGACATCGACACGACACAGAGTGGCACTTCAAGGGCTGGCACATTGGTTCCGGCCGGCGGGGTCACGACCTCAGAATCGACAGGAGACCCACTTTGTTCACCAACTTCTCGGACAGCTTCCGCCTGGCCAGCGTCTGCTAGCCTTTGGCGAAGCAGCGCTTCCCTGCAAGAACAACATGAAGGCCTCAAAAGCTTGCTGACAAATGCTCGGAACCCAGCCCCGCCTATTGGCGATGATGCCCCGACGGATCTCGAACTGTCGGAGCTCCTGCATTCAGTTCGCGCCTGTTCACCATGGCCTCCTAAGAATAGAATAGATAGCATGGAATGACATGGAGTAGAACGGACGAGATTGCAAGAAAAGAATAGAATTGAAAACAACAGAATGGAATAGACTAAACCACATGGAACAGAATGAATAGAACAACATGGAACCGAACACAACTTCATAGCGTCATGTCGCACACAACAGACATGACATATGTCATACATGACCCTCCCCACCGGTCTTCTCCTCGCGGAGCTCCTCGATGGTCTGGTCGACCTCTGGAGGAGCCCAGGGTGCTTCTGCTGGGGGCTTAGGGGAGGGAAGGGATGACTGGGTCCTATAAGGCTTGGGGCTCCAGTTGAAGGGTTTAGGGTTCGGGGGGTTTAGCTGGGGATGAAGTGGATTGATTCGGTCACATTCGGGTAGTGATGGGCCTGCTTGAGCTCCGCAACGGCCCCTCGCCAGTCTTCAACTGATGCCTCCTCCTGGCATCTTCTGAGGATTCGCTGTCTCCATGGGCTCACTTTGGCACACGCCTGGCCTCAGCCATGGCTAGGACGTCTGCGACCCAAGCCCTAGCTTTGGGCAAAATTCCGCGGAACGTCAAACCAAGGTCCAAGACAAGCACCGACATGAGCCTAGACGCAAGAGCCAAGGAGTTGGGCTGGCCAAGGCAGTTCGCAGTTTTCAGCGCATCCTTGCTTGGTTGCGACATGCTCTTTCATGACTGCGAGAGAGCAGTTGCTCATCTCCTACGGCCACCAGGCTGCACGGCCGAACGCCAAGAGCCGGCAAACGCGGCTCGAGTCTCGAGTCTCGAGGGCCCCTTGTGGGCAGAAAAGGACAACTGCATCATCCCTCTGCAGCAGGATCTGGAGTCATGCCCTGCAATGCCTGCCTGAGTCCAAGAGAGAGGGACGGACGACGTCTGAACCGCACTTCGGTCTTGTGGGGTTCCCGAGACCGGTGCATCTCCTCGAGAAGCTTGGCTAAGTTCTTCAGGTGCTCCTGCCCCAATCAAACACTCATCCAAAAGACAACATGGATCAACTCTTCTCAAAAACTTCCGCCATCTCTCCTGCTGCAGAGGAGTCAACTCGGCCTTGGAAGTCCAAAGACAAAGAAAAAGCGGTAGTTTTGTCACGCCGCATTCACGGAGACCAGGGCCTCCTCTCTGGGCTCCGATGAGTCCTTGGACTCCTCGGGCTCCTTGGTGTCCTCCGGTGTCTCCTCCGGCTTCGGGGCTTCGGGCGTCGCGGTTCTCTGCTCCTGGCATCAGATCCAAGGGGGCGACAAGAGCCCACTAGTCACACAGTGGAACTGGCAGTATCCCGTCCATCCCAAATCTTTCCGTCCTTCTCTGGCTGCTTTGCAGAGCTTGCAACTTCGGCGCTCTCCTTTGGTTCAGCTCCCGCTTTCTGAGCTTGCTTCTCTTCCGCTGCCTGCTCTGCCATGGCCTTCGGCTCAGAAGCGAAAGAAAGGAAAAGCCGACGACGCCCGGCACCTCGCCTGCTGCATCAGATGCTTCCTTCGAGCACTCCGATTTTCAGGAGGCTCGAGGCTGTGGAGCTCCCAGTACCAGAAGTACGCGGCTGAACAGGCGAAGTGCGTCAGAAGTCAGAAGACTCAACAAACTCACAGCTTCGCAAATCGCGCAGGGGCGCGAACCATAGGCCGCAAGGCGCTTTTCAAGCCAGACCTCTGACAGAGATCTCTCTGAAAGCTCAGGATTTCTCAAAGGGATGAGACTGAGACCTTCCATGATGCGAACCAGCAGAGAAGTTGGAGTGAACGTCGTCGCAGAGATCTCCGCCTCAGCCGAAAGCTTCGGGCGACAGCAAGTGTGACAGGACGTGCTTTTGACGATGGAATGGGGAGGGATACCGGTCCTTCTATCCAAACGTCCTTCTCGTAAGTACGCTGTTACTTAGGGTCCTTATTAGTGGCATGTTCTTTTCTGAAACTCCTCTATTGGTGAAGCTGATGCCCTCTCAGACTGCGGCTGGTTGAGGGGACCACCAGACACGTACCTGCACCAATGGCAATACCTACTGTATGTCTGTATGTATGTGTGTGTGTATGCATGCATGCATGGATGGATGGATGTATGTTTGCATTTGCGTGTGTGTGTGTGTGTATGTGTGTGTGTATGCACATACATGTATATGTATACGGTTACCTATCTATGGGCTTGCTCATGCTTGCAGTTATGTATCGGATTCATTAAACGATTTGTTTGTTTCTGTTTACCTCTGCAAAATGTTGCCGTGCATTCAGCTGTGTTTGCTTATGCTGTGATTTTTTTTATGTTCAGTCGCGTACGCATGTACTATTATTAGCTTATATGTACTTAGCTCCCTATCCACTTGTTTGTACGCTTGCTTATATATCTGACTTAGCTATCTGTCTCATCTATCTATCTATCTGTCCGTCCGTCTGCCTGCTTGTCCATCTATCTATATATCTATGTGTCGATCTATCTAGTGGTTTCTGTACCTTCGTCTTTACTTTTTACGTTCATGCTTATAGCCACAGCTTTAGCTCCAGAAAAGTTGTACTTCGGCTGGCATTTACAACTTAGTTCATCCGTGTAGATACAAGTATCTTTCGAGATGTATGAATCTTTATAGCTACATGCATCTTTCTACCTCGCGTGTTCTGTTTAGTTGTGTCTATGGCTACAGTGAAGTTGATATTTTTATGTTAAATAAATATCCAGGTTGAGGTCACTGCCTACATCGGGTCCTCTGGCTTCTTGTCGCTAAGCCAACACATCAATAAACCAGAAAACCTAGAAGATAATAAACCAAGAGGTCAACATATTGTGACTATAAATATATATATATATATATACAAACTCCATATATATATATATACACATATATAAATATATATGTACCTGTAAAGCATAGTGTCTCTGTGTATACACGTGTATATGTATATCGTAACAAGAATGAATTTATGAGGGAACCAGGCGCGCGTGGCGGTGTAGCAGCACTCGGAGATAGCCACACGCACAAATCGATGCAGAGACGCAAACTTTATAGTTAGATACTGGTATACAAACAGACCGACGCACAGACAGGCAGCCAGACTGAAAACTATCCAGGTGGAAAGAATATAGATGGACGGAGGCTAGGTAAGACAGCAGTAGATGCATGGACAGACTGGATAAAATTGAAAGCCCTTGCACGGACAGGTAGCTGCATAGTAGATGAGCAAGTAGCTACTGCTACTTTAGGTCTTAGGTACTTCCAGTGTTGAAACGCAGCCATTGTCGAAGCAAGCTCGTAAGCAGCAGTTTGCCTGAAGGTGGCGCTGGGACCAAGCAGGAACGCGAGCATTGGCGCCCAGTCTCTTGAGGACTCTGAAATGCAAGATGCCAGGGTGTTGGCTCAAGGCGTAGTCTCTGAGTCGGACCTTGGCCGAACTAACCCTAAGCCGACGGCCCGTGCGAGCTTCCTTCCAGCTGGTTCGTGCGATCCAAACTACACTGGACTTGAGCCGATGATCCTCAGTTCCAATGATGGATCCTCTGTGATTCAGCTTGGACTGCTCAATACCAAAGGCGAGGTGCAGGGATTGTTCACATCTCAAAGGTCTCTCCAGCTATATTACAAGGACGGGCACGATCTTTGGCGCCTCTGTCCAAAAACAGATTGGCAAGGAAGAACAGCAGGGCACTTCTACGATGCTGAGCCCTCACCATCTCCATCGCCATGACCCTCACGATCCGGTGGGCTAAGAGACCGCTGCCTGAGCTGTGGAACTGTGGGCATCCGTTTGATTGTGTTTCTTCACGCATCCTTAGGACCACGCTTCCTGCCCTGAAGCTCTGCGATCTGAGCACGGAGGTGTGCGGCCACCAGGGGTGCTTTGGGCTCTTGCAGCTGTGCCTCAGGTTGAGACCAGAGCTGCACAATCTAAAGAAGTACTGGGGAGGCTGTCGATGCCTCCATCTCAAGGAGAACTTCGGCTTCAGAAGAGTCCGCCTGCGCGTGGGTCGTCTCAGAGCCGCATCGCTCCGGTTTCGACCCGCCTCTTCCAGCAAGAAAGCGAGCATCTCCACCTCGTTCTCGGCCTGGTCCACGGGTCGCGTTTTTTGCGGACTTCGGGCAGGTCCTTGCCTCAACAATCGCCCGTTGCAAGCCGTCCGAGCCTGTCCGAGATCGAGATGCCCACAGCCACAGCTTTGCTACTAGTAAGGCAAGGTACTCAAGACGTATGATGATGGAATCATGGCGGCTAGGACTGAAATCTGGTGCCTTCGTGGATGGTCTGGGCCTCCTCGCGCAGCTTGGCAGCTTTGAGCACCACCGTCACGAACTGGTCGGGGCAGTGTGCCACAGATCGTGGACCAGATGCACTGGCAGCTCTCGCTCACTTCATTTCGTTTCACCCCTCCCCTCCAACTTGCAGCTGGACTCGTTGCTTTTCTACGCCGCGCGCGTCCGAGGTGCGCTGCGTGCGCTGCGCCTCCCCGAGCGACAAGCCGGTCCAGGTCTTCTTGGACCGGGGATCTCCAGGAGCAGAGCGGGGGATCGTGACGAGGCATTCGCATGGCGTGCTTCTGGAGGCTTCCATCCGATGCAGGGAGGCCCTGAGGCATAGCTGCATAGCTCGACTCACTTGGCACGGCCCTCGAAGCATTGCTCACTCCCAATGTCAACGTATGCGCAGAAGACTTGTCGGTCGGACTGTACGAACTTCTGATTGTTGCCACCATGACATTCGTAGAGACCCCAGGTGTTGACGTCCTCACTACATCTCACTACTCGAGATACTCTGTCTGCTACTCTCTGCAGATCATGACCGTCAAAAACAAAGCAGCCAAGCCACTTCGTCAGACCAAGTGTCCAAGCAAGCCATTGTCTCGGCCTGCTTTAAGCCCTGGTTCTCATAGATGTAGTAGCCGCAGTCTTCCTGCTGGACACTCGCATCGGTTTTTGCATTGATCGTTATCTGTCCCAACAGCTTGTCCTGTGACTCCACCCACTGAGCTTCGGCATCGAGACATTGAGTGCTGCCCTTCCAGTACAGCTTGATGCAGCTTCTGCCTGCAGCTTTGAGCTAGCTGGCAATCGTGCAGCGCGTCGGGCTCATTATGCCCACAAAGGCAATCAACGCCCCACTTTGTAAACAGAGTGGCTTTGACTTTTGAAAGTTTCTGACCTATCACACAACCCCGCCTGGTTCCAAGCACCGCTTGGGCATGTCCGAAGGTGCGTCTACATTGAGCTCCGCGTTGAGACGGGCGAAAACCTCCCCAGGATTCACCAGTTTCATTACTATCATTAGCGTAGCTGGTTCCTTTGCCTGTCCACCCCGGGCGCCTCCGGATGTTCCTGCTGTGCTTTTCGGTAAAGCTTCGTCTCAAGCGGAATCTGGGAGCTCATCTTGGAGAACCTCCAGGCACTGCTAAGCTGCATGAGCATCATCCGTCAGAAGGAAAGATGCCTCGACCCGCCCTTGTTCCGGAAGGATACGCAGGGTGCCTGGCTCCCAGCAGTGCCGGAACTCACTGTGGGCTCTCATGGGGAAGTTCGTAGCTTGCCTCTTTCAGGCCTGGTGTCTGAGTGTTGGCTGGCCCCAGACAGCTGGAACCCTTTTTGAGAAGACCGTCCTAAGCAACAGACGCAGAGCCCGATGCAAGGGCAACTGCAGATATGATGTTTCCAGCGCTGCAGCGACATCCCTCCGTCCAAGCCGCGCTCGTCAATGACCAAGCTTGAGAAGGGTTCGTTCCAGACAGCTCGCCTCAGCAGGGATGAAGCACAAGATTACATGATTACATTGACCGCACACTGTGCTTGTAGGAAAATCCGTTGCATGCAGGATGCAAATGCCAGTGATTCCACGTCCGCCTGATTGGCCGCCCTGCCATGTTGACGGCATGCTTTATGGATATTGGGCAGAGGGTTGACTCGAAGGCCAGCAAGAGGACGGGCCCAAATCTAAAATCCTCTGTCATCACAGTCCTAAACCCTAAACCCTAAACCGTCTTGCTACGTGCCAAGTCCTGAAGGCACTGGTCGGTGTTCCAGGCCCTCAAGCCGCTGCAGCATTTCCTGAGATGTGCGCACAGAACCTGTTCCCGAGCAGTGCCTCCGATGCAAGTGCTGGAGGCCCCTTGAAAACCTGGGTGGCTGGCTTTGTTTTCCTCAGCTCATACAGAAGCTTCAAATTCGAGAACCACTCGTTGTATGGTGTCAAAAGCAACCGAAAGGCTTGTTGCGATTCCCCAGGTGCCAGAAGAAGCGGTGGTTATTCTGATCGCAGTTTTCAAGCCTCCGCCAAAAAGCGTGGAAGCAGAACACTCCGATCTGGACCTGGGACGCAGGACGGCCGCCTCACACCCTCGGATCCGGAGCCACTCGTTCCTGCCCCGCCCATGTACCGCAGGCAGAGCCCGCTTTGCTCCTAGCAGGGGCGCACGGTGTGGGAATGCCTCTTTGCACAAGGACAGCCGTCCTCTCGGATCATGAAGATTTCGGGAGGAATCAGACCCGCATCTTCGTAGACTACCTTGAAGCGCTTCAGGTACCACGCAAAGGGTCTGCAGCCATTGAGGCGTTTCTTGACGTTGTTGAAGGTGCTCATGTCCTTTTGCAGAACACATTTCACGTTGGTCTGCGATCCTGTGCGTGAGCTCGTGAAAACACAGAAACTGAGACCCGCTCTCCGAACCAATTGGCTCCACCAGAGCTTTTGCGATGTGCGAAGTTGGGATAATCATCCAACTTGGCACTGAACTCTTCCAGCCACGCATTGATTGCCCTGGCACGATTGTAGATCGTGTCACCAACATGCTTGTATCGGGCGCTGGTCTTCGCAGAGCCGGTTCTCCACATATGTGCCACCTGCGAATTCGGAGCAGCGACGATCTCGCCTCCACAAACCCACATGCGGACACCTTGGTCGATGTTCTCTCCTCCCCAACCCAGCATCTTGTCGTCGTATCCGCCGCTTTCATCCCACCACTGCCGCGACATGCCCGCCAAACCTCCGGAAAGCATCCCCATGTACATGTCGTCCGTGCCTGGCTGCGGCTCACAGCTGTGAGAAAGGAATGTGCTTAGTCTTTGCTGCCTACGTGGACGGGCCTCGCCTCCCCATTTGAAGTCGCCGTCCCAGGTCAGATAGCACTTTGACATACCGCCTCCGCGGCCGATTTGGGTCCAGCTGTCGATGTCCAGCGCTGTGATCTGAGGTATCACCATGCGACGATAGTTCTCAGCGATGAGCTTCATGAAGTCTTCATGCCATCGAGGCTGAGGAGCTAAGTTGCATCAAGCAGCAGAGAGCCACGGAACGAGAGAAAGAAACATATGCAAACTTGAGACTATCAAAATACAGTTGAAACAGTCATCTACGATGCTGTGAATGTGTCTGCGTACATGTGCACCTATGTCCATGTGTGTATGTTCTTCATCTCTGCAGCAATATTCGCCCACAGCGACTTACCCAACAGCAGAAAAGCAATGTGCTTAGACTGAACAAGCACTCCTCAGTCGATGGTACATACATTTGTGTTTGGCAACCTCTACCCTCAAACCTTCGGCTGGGCTCTTGCTTCCTGTATGCTGCTGCTCATAGCTGGAGCAATGCTTGCAGTGGTTGTGGTTGCAGTCGTGGTACCAGCAGAAACTGTACAGGGGTGGTGGTATTGGTCTTGCAGGTGGTCGTGGTCGAGTTCCTGGTCTGGTCGTGGTCCTGCTCAAGTCCTAGTCGTAGCAGTACTAGTATCAGGATGATAGTAGTAGTAGTAGTAGTAGCAGCAGTAGTAGCAGTAGTAGTAGTAGTAGTAGTAGCAGCAGCAGCAGCAGGAGTAGTAGTAGTAGTAGTAGTAGTAGTAGTTGATGTTGTTGTTGTTGTAG